AGACGGGGTTTCACCATGTTGACCAGGATGGTCTCGATCTCTTGACTTCATGATCCACCTGCCTCGGCCTCCCAATACCTCATTCTTCTTTATGGCTACATAGTATTCCATGGTGTATATGTGCCACATTTTCTTTATCCAGTTTATCATTGATGGGCATTTGGGTTGGTTCCAAGTCTTTGCTATTGTAAATAGTGCTACAATAAACATATGCATGCATGTGTCTTTATAGTAGAATGATTTATAATCCTTTGGGTATATGCCCAGTAATGAGATTGCTGGGTCAAATGGTATTCCTGGTTCTAGATTCTTCAGGAATCACCATGCTCTCTTCCACAATGGTTGAAATAATTTATACTCTCACCAATAGTGTAAGAGTGTTCCTATTTCTCCACAGCCTCACCAGCATTTATTGTTTCCTGACTTTTTAATAATCGCCATTCTGACTGGTGTGAGATGTTATTTCATTGTGGTTTTGATTTGCATTTCTTTAATGAAATGATGAGTGAGAGTGATGATGAGCTTTTGTTTATATATTTGTTGGCTGCATAAATGTATTGTTTTGAGAAGTATCTGTTCATATCTTTTGCCTACTTTTTGCTGGGGTTGTTTGTTTTTTTCTTGTAAATTTGTTTAAGTTCCTTATAGATTCTGGATCTTAGACCTTTGTCAGATGTGTAGGTTGCAAACATTTTCTCCCATTCTATAGGTTGCCTGTTCACTCTGAGGATAGTTTCTTTTGCTGTGCAGAAGCTTTTTAGTTTAAGTAGATCCCTTTTGTCAATTTTGCCTTTTGTTGCAATTGCTTTTAGTGTCAAAGTCATGAAGTCTTTGCCCATGCCTGTGTCCTGAATGGTATTGCCTAGGTTTTCTTCTAGGGTTTTTATGGTTTTGAGTTTTACATTTAGGTCTTAAATCCATCTTGAGTTAATTTTTGTATAAGGTGTAAGGAAGGGATCCAGTTTCAGTTTTCTGCATATGGCTAGCCAGTTTCCCCAGTACCACTTATTAAGCAGAGAATCCTTTCCCCATTGCTTGTTTTTGTCAGGTTTGTCAAAGATCAGATGATTGTAGAAGTGTGGTGTTATTTCTGAGGTCTCTAATACTTGTGATTTTTAGGTAAATATTGCCAAGTTGTGTTGCGGAGAGGTCACATCATTTTGTTCTCCCACAGAAACTGGGAGTGCCTGCTTTCCTACAACTAAGCCAGTACTATTTGTTATTGAACCGTTTGTTATCAAACCTTTTGTTGTTTGTCAACTAGTTTCCTAAGAAATAGTACCTCAATTGCTGTATTTTACAATTATGTAATTATGATCTCAATTGAAAGTCTTTCCATATGTTTGTAAGTCATTGTTTTGTTTTAGTTTTTTTTCAGTGAACTTAGCCCTTTTCTTTTTTTATTGAATTGGTGGCATTTTCAAAAAATAAGAAAATTTGTACTTTGCCTAATGTTTTGCTTGCCTTCTGATGTCAGTTATAGATTATGGTATTTCTTTTTTTTCTCCCCCTTTTCCTCCTCTTTT